TGTCCTGACACCACGGAGTGTGGGCATAGCGGGTTGGGCCCTGCAACAGCAGAGGCCAAGGGCACTGCCCTCTTCCAACAACCAGCACTGCAATCCCGAGAATGTAGGTGGGATGAGGCCTCCTCCGTGCATTTGCTTGGCCCCTCCAAGGGTGCCAGGCACCTGGGCCTTGTGTGCAGCTGGCGGGCAGGGGTTGGCCCTGCAATCTTTGGTCCTTGGTTGCGCAAAGGTCTTTTATGCCAGCAGCTTCCCTTCCCGGGAGCTGTGGGATCAGCAACCCCAGACGCTCCGGATACCAGTGGCAGCGGCTGGCCAACTTCTGCCATCCTTGGTTTTCTCTAAATGTCTGTCGCTGTCGCTCTTCCTGAACTTCCCGGAGGAGCGAGGAAAAGGCCCCTTCCTCCTGATCAAGGCAGTGTGTTTTGGTTTTTAAAGAATCTTTTGACCTGACCAGAGGATTCAACATGGGGACAAATCCCCAATCACACACGAGCAGGCCGTCTGCTGGCTCTGTTCGGGTTTGACTGGTTGTTTCGGCCACAGCCTTGAAACCGAAAGAGAATCTGCTCAGCGCAGTGTGTGTCCTTCTCCTGTCCCTGCCCCTCTCCAGCCCCAGGGAGTCCTTGGGTGACTTCTTCATGGTGACCTTGATCCTGACTCAGGCAGGATGGCTACTCTGTGGATAGCCCCTCGCCGTTTGTGGGTGAAAGCTCTCCATGAGATGGGGTCCTGCCTCTTCCTGCAGGCACGTGGCACCCGGATATGTATCCTCCTTGCTCAGCCCCTGCTGGTGGTGCACAATGCTCAGTCCCATCGCTGGTGGGACATCTTGGGTCTCAGGCCGAGGTGTGGTCCTCTGGGTTTCTCCTTGTCTCCTTGCTTGCTGACCCACATCTTCGAGGACACATAAATATTCCGGTCTCCTCACACCTCCGCCTGCTAGTTGTGACACTAGGGCCGATCTTTCCCGGATAAGGGTGGCCTGATGGTGACGTTAGAGCCCTGTCAAACATGGCTAGGTCCACTGCTACCAACTTGTCATTCCTTGATGTCTCAGGGCATCGAAGGTGGCTGGTGGGGATCAGGCCGCCTCGCTCAGCCCTGGATTTGGGGGTTTGGCTCTGCTGTGCTCTGCCACCTCGGCCACTTCTGCCCCTGCTGTCATGTGACTACACTCTGAGGTTGAGTCTCTGTGACTGGGTGGGGGCTCTGCAGCCACAGATAGCTGGAATCCTCAAGGAGCCCAGGAGCTAAAGGGGGACACAGGCTAAGACCAAACTGTGACAAAAAGCTCAAAGTTATCCTTCTTTACAGCAGAGTAGTACCCCACTGTGTGTAAATACATTTCTTTATCCATTCTTTTGGTGATGGACATCCAGGCTGCTTCCAAGGCTTAGCTCCTATCGACCATCGTGCTCTGTAGACCTGAGTGGGTATGGATCGCTGGGGTTTGAGGCCTTTGACTCTTTTGGAAGAGGCCTGTCAAGGGAAGACTGAAACCTAGTAAGTCTGTTTAAATCCAAAATGTTCTGTCAGAACCGCTGTCTCCAGCCGGTACCACTCAGTACCAGACAGATCCAACCCACAGAGATGGCACAGAGCTTACTCGGTGGCCTTTCAGAGCCAGGCAGGGAACTGAGCCCGCACCCTCCCAGAGCGCAGGGACTCAGGGCTGCGCAGGCCGCAGCTGTCTCCCTCTAGACCCTGGGGCTTTGGTCTATGACTACCCCAGTACACTGCACACAGCCAGGCATGGGAAGCGGGGGCAGAGGGGGGAGGAATCTGCAGAGGGGACAGTGGGGAGCCAGGAAAGTACCCTTGACTTCCTTACAGGGAAACAGGCTGTTGCATAGCCAGACAGCTGAGAGCACGTGCCAGGGCAATGTCATTGGGTACATGGTGGGCATTCAGATGCCCCTTCTAGGGCCTACTTTAGCTCCTGGACCCTCACTGCCGGTCCCAGTGGCCATGAGCTGCTGCCAGCCCCACTGGTGATGGCACGAGGCAGCCCTGTGTACCAGGGGACCCTGCAGAGCTGGCCAGCTTCCCTTGGGGCCTGGTCTCCTGGACTAGGAGGAGGGGAACACAGGCACCGAGCCTGGTGGGCCCGGCCGGTCCTGATGCCTAGGACCCGGTGCTGCTGGCTCTGCTCAGAGATGAGCCCTGACTGAGAAGCAAGCAGGGACAGGAAGGGGTCTTGCCCACGGCCACACCCCAGAAAGGAAGGAGGAAGCCAAGTGCCCACCCACGTGTTTGGTTCCAACTTGAAAGCTGCTGCTTCCTGAGACCTGGAGGCCGGGCTCCTCAGAGGCCACCTAGGAATGAGACTCTTGAGGGACCGGGCTGCCTCTTGTTCCACTCACCATCAGAAGCCTTAAGGAGACTGAGAGGGTGGGCATGAAAGGCTGGAGGCCTTGGGAGCTAAGTCCTGACTGCAGCCCGTGGCCCCCAACCCAAGCTCAGTTCGGGGGCTGGAGTGCGTTTACCTCACCCTCATGCTGCCAAGAATGCAGTGGAGCAGTGGGGGTGGAGACCAGCCTTTCAGAGCAACTTCTGCTGCCATGGCAACCACAGTCCCCCTCCTTCCAGAGCCCTAGGACTCAAGCAGTCCAGAGAGGGCTGAGAAGACAGAAGGGCAAGGAGGAGGCTGGTGACCCCAAGTGCAGACAGGAGGGCGTCCCACACCGCGGTGGGATGTGCCATCACAGGGGGCCTCTCAGGGGCCTGGTGTCACCACTCGTGCACCCTTCAGCTTGCCGAGTGCCCCCCAGGGAGCTGAGTCCCCAGCTCAGGGCCACACGGCAGGAGCCAGCTGGACTCGGTTCTCCAGCTGGACGGGGCCTATCTCCCTGATGCCCCTCCTACTTCCTCCTGCATTTCAGGGAACAGGCCGGTGGTCGGTCCCCGGCGGGAGGAGAGACGGGGGTGTCACAGTAATGGCACTCAGGGCTGGGGGTAGCACCTTCGGAAGGAGCTCAGCCCTGGCCTGGTCACCAACCTAGGGCAGCCCGACAGTCTGTTTAAACCCTAGCTCCATCAGGCTCTGCCGTGACATCTCCAGCGATGCCAACCCTCCCTAGGCCTCAGTTTCCCCACCTTGGGGGTTGCTGTAGGATTGAAATCTGATGTGGCTTCTAAGGAAAGGCTTGGTGTGCGGAAGAAATGGAGTCAGCTCCATGGCTGGGCTCCATGCCAGGTCCCAGGCATGGAACGGGCATCCCAGGGTGATGGGCATTGGGTGGGGTGCCCCTCAGTGTGGCCCCCTCATTCCCACATCCTGAGCTCTGAATTTAACTCCCTTGGTGGGGAGTAGAACACCAGTTGCTCAGGTGTCCCTCTGTGGCTGGGACCCTGGGCCCAGGGCCAAACCCAAGGTCCTGCGCATGCTGGAGGAGCGCCTCACCTCGACTGGCACTCCCAGGCCCTGTGCTTTTAGATTTTCTAGTTGCCACATAATGAAAGCAAAAGGAGGCTGGATATGGTGCATGCTTGTAATCCCAGCACTGTAGGAGGCTGAGGCAGGAGGATCACAAGCTCAAGCCCAGACCAGGCAAGTTATTGAGACCCTGTTTCAAAATATAAAGGGCTGCAGATGTAGCTCCATGTGAAGGCCCTGGGTTCAGTTCTCAGGACAAAACACGAAAAATGTGGCATGGTGATGGCACCCACTTGTAATCCTGGCACTTTAGGAGGCTGAGGCTGAGGCAGGATGATCACAAATCTGAGCCCAGTCTGGGAAACTTAGGGAAACCTGATTTCAAAACTGAAATGAAAGGGCTGGGATGTAGCTCAGGGGTAGAGGCCCTGGCTAGTGTGTGGGAGACCCTGAGTCCTCAGGCTTCCGGAGCTAGGCTGCACAGGTTCAAATCTCACCTCTACTACTGTCCACCCGGGCACCTGTTTGATCTGTGCTTCTGTCTCAGTGGTTATGCTGGTGTCCACCTCCCCGCAACAGCAGCAGCTGCACCCACAGGGTACATAGCCTGCACTCGGCAGAGGCTCTCTCCTGTAGTCAAAGAACACAGGTGCTTCGAGGTGGATCGGCTCGTCCAGTAACTCCTCTGTCAGGGAGACAAGGAGCCCTCAGAGGGCAGGGCCCTGTCCCACCACAAGTGCATCAAGGCATCACCCCAGGTCCCTCCACCGGGACCCCAAGAAAGCAGGCATTTTCTGGGGAGCAGACGCCTGACATTCCAGTTGCAGGAGGCCCCTGTTCCTTCCCCAGCAGGGACATAGCATAAACTGTCCTGGCCCCTGGGAGCGGAAGTGCGTGGCTGAATTCACCACCTGCCCCTGCAGGAACAAGCCTGTATAATTATTTGGAAATTTTTTACTTTTTGTTTTTTTGAGACAGGGTCTCACTGCTTAGTCTGAGCTGGTCTTGAACTCTCGGCATTCTCCTGCCTCAGCCTCCCAAGTGCTAGGATTGCAGGTGTGTGCTACCACGTGCTGTTGAAGGTGTTTGACTTTGATGCAGAACCTGTGGGAAATTTAGGACACAAAAGCTGACAGGAGGCTGGAACATCCGCCGCACACGCTTGTGCTTTCTCCACATTTCTTGCTGCAGCGCCGCTCCGGGCTGGGCCCTGGACAGACCCAACCCTGCCTGGGAGTGCTGGGCACCCAGCCTGACCCGTGGCCTTGCTGGGCAGGCCACAGAGTCCCTGCCACAGCAGCAGCACCACCAGCGGCATGGCCAAGTTACAGGGGCGACCTCTGACCGCTTCTGCCCGCCCCGTGCGGCCGACGTCCCCATCATCAAAGCTGGAGCACATGGGGCGTGCCGTGCCCAACCTGCTCCCTCCGGAGCGTCTGGCCGACCCCAGCGTGCACAGCTTGGCACGTGCTTCATTCTGAGTGTGTTTGCAAGGCTGTCTTGTTTGGCTTTGTTCTCACTCTGAGAACCGGCGTGGCAAGAAGCTTCTGTCCCTGGCAGCCTCTCCTTTCACAGCCCGTTGCAGCCCCTGGGGCCTTGCGGTGTAGCGAAACATCACCTCGTCTCACCTCCCCACAAGCCTGCAGCGGGATGCGCTAGTCCCCGGCGCCAGGGCTCTGCCCGTGTCACGCAGTGCGCTGAGCTTGGCTGCCATCACCCCGCACCGTTCCGAGGCACGGACCCCGACCTCCGGACTGTGCCACATGCAGCCTTGTTTCTCATCTTTTTTATTACCACTTTGAGATGCAGACTTGCTAAACTGTCCTTGAGGATGCGACCCTTGTGCCTCAGCCTCCCGAGTATCGGGGAGCATAGCTGTGTGGCCCCTTGCTGGGCCACTTCCCTAGGGTGGATTCTCAGCGGTGGGAACGCTGGGTCCCACCTCGAGGCTGGCAGCACAAGCTGGCTGCTTCCCCATGTGTCGCCAGCCAGGGCCACACCGCCCTCCACGTGCAGCCCCTTCTGCAGATCCCCAGCCTCCCCGCACTCCTGACGAGCTCCATCTCCTGGGCTGTGTGCTGGGGTGCCCACCACTGCTGCCTCAGGCCTAGGACAGCCCCTGTGACCTCCATGGGGCCCTCGCTGTCCTCCAGGACCTCTGTCACCTCAGCCCGGGGCCTGGCTGAAACAGACAGGACAGGAACCATCTTCGTGCATCTTTCTTTCTCTTTCTACTTTTTCGCGGTGCTGGGGTTGAACCCCGGCCGGGCTGGGACCCGTGACCCTCCCGCCTCAGCCCCTACAGAGCCTCATTTCCTCAGACTCTGCCCCCGTAGCCTCTCGGGGGGCCCCAGTTTCTCCTCTGCTCTGGGCTCCTCCACGCGGCTCCCTCTGGGGTCAATCTTAGACGAATCTTCCACGGTTCTGGCTCCTGGGGCCACTGCTGGACGGACGAATGGATAGACAGATGGGAATGTGGTCTCCCTCCTGGTGGGCAGAGCGCCCCCGCCATGTGGCCTGAAGTGACCTGGTTCCCACAAGACAGAGACTCCTGTAATCCTCTCCTTTCCCATGCCCTCCCATCCTCCTGCCAAAGCCCGGCCCCTGCAGATGGCGCCTCCCCCCCTAACGGGATGCAGCCCGGGACACAGCCCCCGGTGCAGGGCTCAGCGCTGCCATTGGTTTCAGAGAGCACCATCGAGGCCAGTTACACTCCGGCACCTCCAGGCCTCGCGGGGCTGCACAGGCGCCTGCTTCTGTCCTTCTGTCCGTGGAGCCGTGTGGCAGATGAAACCTCCTTTCATTGCATTTTCTTCTGCATGCTTTGCTTTCTGGACCCGACACGAAAACTGCTCCCAGGAACCTGGGCCAGCGTCTTGCTAGGGAAGGGCAGTGCCAGGCCACATGGGGTGACCTCTCTGGGCATCTATGGGGCAGAACTCATCCCATCTGCAGAGTTCACTGTGGAAAAATGGAGGGAAACATTTCCCACACAGGCGTTGGGCAAACTCACAGCGGGGCAAAGGCTGCTCCTTAGATGACCGTCACAGCTGGACAGGGGAACCAGTCACGTGCCCAGTGCCAGTGTGACGCACCCACACCCTGGGGACCCTCAGACCTTGCGGCAGGGGTACCAGACAGCTCCTGCTGGTGGCTTCCACAGCACAGAAATCCAAGAGCACAGATCCAGGCTCCTTTCCTAGGACAGGGACAGAAGTATGTAACACCAAAACAAAACCCTTGAACATTGGCAAGTTCAATAAACTGACTTGTTGATGGTAGTCCTTGGGGCTGGCAGCTTTCTGCTCACTCTTCCAGTCATTCAGTCAATCAACAAACACTATTGAGTACCTCTGCGAACATACTGTCAGTCCTGACTACTAGGATTTTCCTATTTGGTGGGAAATATGTGTGACTTTATGCAAGGGAAAGTGGTGCCCCAAAGTCAAAGAGCTACAGGGTAGAACTGAGCTACAGCCCCCCTATCTACTCAGCCACACACACCCCCACACACGCACACAGAGCAGCCAGTGCCCTACCCCCTCCACTCCCCCACAAACCTCACAGGTGCAGAGGGCCATTACCATGGTAACAGGGATCCTGCAGCCCGCCCTCGCAGCATCTGAAATCTCACCCTGAGCATCACATTGTAGCCAGCGTGGGCTCTGCATCTGAGTCACTTCCTCTCAGGCGTGTGCACACATGTGCCGTACCAGTCTGTGTGCACCACCCCTGGCCAGCTGGTCTGGGCTCCAGCTCCCGCTCAGCAAGACCTGCCCGATTCTGGCCCTGCCACGGCTGCTGCTGGGGCCCAGAGCCTCGTAGGAAGGGGACCTAAGTGCAGAAGGATAGGAAGTCAGGGCCTCACTCATGACAACAAGGTGGCCCCTGCCCCAGCCCACTTGCATGCTTGCAAACCAGCCTGGACCCACTGCCATGGGACATATCGAGCCCTGGCTCCCAGGGGCTGGGGAGAGCTGAGCTATGACCTCCCAGCTCTGGGAAACCAGACCTGCATGGCCAGTGTGGGAAGCGAAGGCCTTTGGGTCAGGGCAGCCGGAGCACAGGCACCTGGACACTGCCCTCCTCCCTCTAACCTTCCCACCAGGCCCCTCAGCCTCTGGATCCACGAGCTCCTCCTTGGAGCAGAGGGGCCAGTGATTCTAGAGGACAGAAGGACCCCATCTGGCATGGGCAGTCACCTCTATCCTTTCAGCAAATGCATCCCCACCTCACTGTCGTAAATGGTGAAATGGACTGCGGAGAGGAGAAGTTGCTTCTTCCTCTCGCAGCTGGACCGATGCTCTCCTGGTCCCCAGCCAGCGAGTCCTACCCGTCCCACAGTGTGGCACGACATTTTCAAGCAGTGTCTTTCCTAGACCTCCCAACTTTCCGGCTTCCTGGGTCCCCTCACTTCGGCCTCACTGACCTTACCCAAGGGTCAGGACTGCAGAAAAAAATTAAGTCATTGGTCTGCCGTGGCACAGCCACTTGGTGGGTCAGGTCGAGGAGCGAAGGACCTGCCACTCCATGGTGTGTGACTTGCCCTGCCATGGAGGTGCCAGCCATACCCCAAGCTGAGGACCGCATCTTTCCAAAGCAAGGCTCCCCACAACACCTCCGGGACCCCAGGCCTGAGCCTGCTCACCCCAGCTGCTGCTGCTTCCTTTCAGGTCTGAGCCTCCCAACTACTGCTACGCCCGGTCAGCACAATGTGAGCATCAAGGCCCTGAAGCCAGGTGAGCGGCCCTCCTGCTGGGTCTCTGGATGGCACGGGGCAGTGGACGGTGAGGTAGCCGGGCTCCTCTCTTCCTGGTCCAGGGCCCAAGTTCCCATCAGAATCCCTGGGGAACTGAGCTGGGAAGTGGCCAGAGGTAGTCCTCGAGAAAGGGCAAGCGAGGCCCCTCTCACCCTGGCTGAACCTATCCTGGCCTCTGCTCACTCTTGGGTGCTTTCTTCTGACTGGAAAGGGAACCAGAAGGTCAGTCCTATAGCCCGTCTCTCGTAGTCCCATTTTGCAGGCTGGAAGGTTCAGGTCTAGGGCAGGAAACGGGTGGCCAGGGCCATCAGCCTGCCCTCTCCCTACAGGTTTCAGGGTGCGCTTGGCCAACCGGAGCAGTAGCTGCCGCGGGGAGGTGGAGGTCCAGCTTGGTGCCCTCTGGGCACCAGCCTGCGGGGTACCATGGGACTACCAGGCTGCAGAGGCCGTGTGCCGTGCACTGGGCTGCGGCAGTGCGGAGCTGACCCTCGAGCCAGAGCCTGCAACCCCTGTGGGCAACGCCAGCACCTCTAACACCACGCGTGGACGCGCACTTGCTGTCCACTGCCGCGGCCCTGCATGGGGGCTCTGTGAGGTGAAGGAGGATGCATGTAGAGGTGATGCTGGGCCAGCCAGGGTCATCTGTGCAGGTATGAGAGACCCTTGTGACCCCAGACCCAGGCTCCGGACCTTTGACCCTGGGCAGCCTGGGCTCCCACTACACATGCATGCACACACGCATGCACTCCGAGCCCCACAGATGCTCGGCCCCACCCCTGTGAATCTGCCCTGGACCCTTCCCTTATCGATTGCCAGGGTGCCCATCCTTGCAGCCCTAGCTCTACTTATGCCTGTGAGCTGGGACCCCCACCCGGCCCTCACCCCAGATCCCAACCCCAACACCCACCCACCACACGTGGTGTCCACAAGCTCACAAGACTTAGAGAACTCACCCATCTCCAAGCCCCGCCCATCAAGCCCAGGGCCCGCCCACTTCTCCTCCACCCTCCCCCATACCCTCATCCCAGCCCCACGCGCACCCTGGCCCCACCTTCAGCACCCAATCCAGCGTGGACTCCACCTCACGTCCCTCTGCAGATCCCCCCGCCCTGCGACTGGTGGGCGGCACCAGCCCGTGCGCTGGCCGTGTGGAGATGCTGGAGCGCGGAGTGTGGGGCACCGTGTGTGACGACGCGTGGGACCTGGAGGACGCGCATGTGGTGTGCAGGCAGCTGGGCTGTGGCTGGGCAGTGGAGGCGGTGCCCGGGCTGCGCTTCCCTGCGGGCAGGGGCCTCATCCACCGCAACACGGTGAACTGCACGGGCGATGAGGAGCACCTCTGGGACTGTGAGAGCCAGCCTGGTGATGGCTACTGTGGCCACAAGGAAGACGCGGGCGTCGTGTGCTCAGGTCAGCGGGCTGGGGCTCGGGGGTTCTACAGGCTCATAGGCCCTATCTGGGGGAGGGCTGGTCCCCTTCCTCCAACCCTTCTTTGGGTGGGCCACTGGCTGAACGGGAGCTGCGGGACTGGGATGTCCAGGTGAGACCAGGTGGTCCTGGCCCAGCCTGAGCTCCTCGTAAATGTGCAGGGCATTAAATGCCAACACTGACCAGCGGCCAAATCTGAGCTGCTGGGGTTCAACACCACCCTAGGGCTCCAGGGTCCTGGGTCCCCGGCAGGGTTGTCCAAGCAGGTGGGCAAGTGGAGTAGAGACACAGACGCCCAAGGGGGTTCCGGGCCCTGCACCTGGGGTCCTGACCTCACAGAGCCCTGCCCCTCTATCCCAAGAGCACCAGTCCTGGCGCCTGACTGGGGGTTCAGACCGCTGCGAGGGGCAGGTGGAGGTGCACTTCCGCGGGGTGTGGAGCACTGTATGTGACAGCCAGTGGTACCAGCCGGAGGCCGACGTGCTGTGCAGGGCCCTGGGCTGCGGATGCATGGCGGACCGGCCCCCCGGGCAGCCGCACTCGCTGCCCGGCAGGATGTTCTACTCCTGTGAGGGAGACGAAGCCACGCCCTTCCTCTGCACTTGGAGGTTCAACAACTCCAACCTGTGCAGCCAGTCTCGGGCAGCCAGGGTGATCTGCTCAGGTACCCGGACCCCTGGTCCCCGGGCTGGGACCCCAGGCCCTCTGACTGTCAGGCTGAGGGTGGACCCTGCCCTCCTCGTGCCAGAGGAGAGCTGGACAGGGCATCGGCAGAGGTTCTGCTCAACCCCAGGTGGTGTGCTCAGTGCAGGGATAACGCCCCTGTCCCTTTGTGGGGCTGGGGTCCCAGAAAGACTGCAGCACAAGGGGGCCCTGCTAGGACACTAGTGCCCTGTGCCCAGGGTGGTGCCAGTTGGCTTTGCCCCAGACGTGTGGTGTGCACAAGGTCTCCCTGCCTCCCACACAGGGTGGCGCTGACAGCAAGCCAGGTGTTATGGGGGGGGTGCGGAAGCCCAGGTGCTGTTGGAGCCCCAGGTGGGCTTCAGCCTGTGGTATTCCAGGTATTCAGAGATACCAGCTGTGGCTCTGATGGTTACCCTGAGCCAACACAGCGTGTGCCCCCATGGAGACCTGGGTCTAAGCTGGCTCTGCTGTTTACAATGGGAGGCTCAGGACAGTCCCAGAATGTGTGGCCAGGAACTCAGCTCACATCTGCCAGACGGGTGGGCTTGCCGTCCCATGGGCAGACAGGAGGGGGACCAGCCCTTGACCCTTCCCTGAGGCCCAGCAGCCACCCAGAAGTGCAGATAAGAGAGAGAATCCTTCTACCAGGTCACCTCCTAATGGAGGCATCCAGCCCAGAACCTTGAGCTCTAGGGGGCAGGGCCTTCCCGAGCCTAGTGCCCCAATTCTGGACCACCTACCAGTCCTGCTGGGCTCCTGGAACCAGGCTTGGCACATGTAGGTGTTCATGAGTATGTGGGTGAACAGGGTGCTTCCTCACAGGTTCCCGGACACTGTACAACCTGTCCGCATCTCCAGTCCCCTCCAGCATTCAGCCGGGGACTGTAGGTGAGTGTTGCTTCCCTCAGAAGCCAGGATGGGCATGTGTGCGTGCACATGTGTGCACATGCACGTGCCTGCCCAAAGGAGGACCTGTGGTGTCCCCGCCCTCTCTAGCCAATGGCTCTGCTCAGGGCTCTCTGAGGCCTCCAGCTCCCTCATGACCCATGGGCCACAGCTCCAAGGGTGTTCTCCCCTGGCAGGCAGGGGCAGAATGGCACAGGGCTGCTAAAGCAGGTGGGGGTGCCTGGCAGCAGCTGCTGTGCTCCTAAAGTCTGGCTGCTGTCCTTTCCCATGCTCCCCCTCTAGGAGCCACATGGTGAGGGCTCCTGAGACCCCGACCCCAAGGCTGGGGCTTGGGTGCTGGACCCCACATCTATGGCTCTGCTCCAGGGCTGAGGCTCTGGCCCAAGCTGTGCCCCTCACTGAAGTTAGTAGGGAATTAGTGCCTCGTCCCTCTGATACTCAGAGTGGCTGCTGAGGTTGTGGGGTGGGAGCTGAGGTGTCTTGGGAAGGGACAGGGTGAGCACCTGCAGGACCAGAAGCCCCCGCAGCTCCTCCTTGGGCAGAGTAGGGACTGGCAACCCCGCCTGCCTCTCTTGTACTTCGGGCTGCTGAGTACCCATGCTACCTGGGCTGCTCTCTGCAGAGGAACAGAGGATGGGAGGTCATCCCTGCCCCTCCTGGTCCCAACCCACACACCGGGATGCCTGCCTTTGACCAGCAGGGAACCCCATGTCTCCATCATCTCTTCCTGCTGCGCTCAGTGGGGATGAGGGGCAGGGCAGCCATCCTGGGTACAGCTGCTCTGCCTTCTGGGACAGCTCCAAAGGGAGGATGGAGAGAGCAAGGTGCCTGAAGGCTGTACTCCCCCAAGTTCCTGCCGTTTGCTGATGTCCCTGTAGACAGGGCCCCAGGACCTGTGACGCTGCTGTCACCTTGGCTTCCCAGGACCAAATGCCAGGCATGAGGTGGTACTGTGCTCAGTGAGCATCTGTTGAGCAAGTCTTAGCCACCTCCCTGCTGCGGGGACATAATACTCAACTCCGCAAAGCAGAGGATGAGAGGGTTACTTTAGGGCATGGATTTTGGGGGATTTGGTCAACCGTCAGCTGGCTCCAGGCAGGAAGGTGCCATGGAGGGGCCTGGCGGAGGAGAGCTGCTTGAGGCATGGGGAACAGGAAGCCAAGAGAGGGACAGGGTTGGGAGGGAGACAGACACTTCCAGGCCACCCCTGAGCAACCAGCCCACCTGCTGGGGCAGCCATCAGCCTCCCAAGGCTTAGTCACCTTCTGGGAGCCAATAGGGACTCAGATCCCTGGGGGACAGAACAGAACAGAGCAGTGCTGAAGGCTGGCTGGGAGAGAGCCCCACTGTGGTAACCAGCAGGAGATTCACTTAGTCATTTACTCCCCTAACACCCGCATACGGAGCACTTGCTGTGCACCCTGCATCGGGAACATATGGGGGGGGGAGTGCAGGGAGGAGTTGTGGAGGGGAAGAGGGAGCCGATAGGCTGTGGAGAGGGCGGGGTGGCAGGAGGAAGGGTGAAGAGACACTTGTGTCCGCCCCTTTTCCCCTGAACTGGCCCTTGTTTCCAGGTTCCTCAGTGCCGGTGGAGACCGAGAAGTCTCGGGAGCTGCTGCTCCTGGTGCCCAGCCTGGTCCTGGGGATCCTTCTCCTTGGCGCGCTGGTCACCATCGCTGTCATCCTCCTGAGGGTCAAGGGGAAATACGGTGGGCGCACAGTTGGGGCGCAGGCAGAACCTGAAGGTGCTCTGGCCCTGGGGCAGGGAGGCTTTTTCTGGTGTGCCCTGTGGGAGTGGGCACAGCACTGTGGCTCCTGGGAGGGTCAGACCATGTGTGTGTACGCATGTATACGTGTGCGTGCGTGCGTGCGTGCGTGCGTGCGTGCGTGTGTGTGTGTGTGTGTGTGTGTGTGTGGTGTGTGCATTCATGTGTGTCGGAGATGGGGACTGGCTGAGGCCAAAACCCAGCAGGTCAGAAATGGGCAAAAGCCTGGCCTCATAGACACCCTGCCTGTCCCCGCCTCCAGCCCTCCCCGTGGCCAGGAACCACCAGCACCTCCTGCCCTCCGCCACACCAGCAGGGAGCAATAGCTACCACGTGGTTCCCATCACTGTTCCTAAAGAGGAAGGTAGGACAGGAGTGTGGCCTGGTTTTCTATACTCAAGGGCGATGGGCTGGCCGTGCTGCCCTCTGCTGCTTCACTGTGGCCCCAGCCTGCTCTGGTCTCGCCCCAGCACCCCCACCACCGGCCCTGCCCCCCGAGGCCTTAGACTCAGACTCTGGTTCGGACTATGAGCACTATGACTTCAGCGCCCAGCCACCCGTGGCCCTGACCACCTTCTACAGTGAGTGCGGTGCTTCGGGACCCGGGGGCGTTTCCACTGGGACCCTGTCTGTGTGTCTGTCTGCCAGTGGTTATGGTCACCAGGCCCAGACACACCTGAAAGCCCTGTCTCTGTCCCATGCACACGTACCTTTGTGCCCATGTTCCCACCTGACCCCAGGCCCCCATCACCACAGCCGCTCTTGCTACCCCGGGATAGGACAGGCAGGCAGATGGGATCCCGACAGTGAAGCCAGTGTAGGACTTCAGCGGAGACCTTGAAGGACAGAGTCTCTAGAAGCGGAAGGCCAGGCTCATTCTCCCTGCTGCTGGGGAGTCCCTGAGATGTCTCCCTGGTCCATGTGGTCCCAGATGGCTCATCCGGGACCCCAGCGCAGACCCATGGGCCAGAGGGATGGCAGGGCAGCTGCGGTCCAGCTGCTGGCTCGGGGCATGCATGGGGGGCGAAGGGCTGTACTCCTGCCACCTCTTGAGCTGGAGTTTGGGAGCCAGCTTGGGGGACAGGGTGTCCTCGAGCCCCGAGATTTCCTGAGCTGTCCCAAGGTGTCCGGGGTGTGGGCTCAGCTCCTCAGCGCTAGCCCCAGGTCCTCCAGGCTCTGCAGGTCTCTGTTCAGAGGCTGGAGCTGCAGTCATGCAGATTCCTGTCTTCCACCTGGGAGCTCCCAAGGAATACACAGCACCTACTCTCAGGGCCCAGGAGAGAAGTGGACTCACAAGGCCCCAGGCATCTGACCAGAAGCAGCATCCGTGCCGTGGTGCCTGGGCCTGGTGGAGCACTGTGTCCCCTCCACACTCTGCCTCCACCTCTTGCAGATTCCCAGCGGCACCGGGTCATGGAGGAAGAGGCCCAGCAGAGCCGGTTCCAGATGCCACCCTTGGAGGAAGGCGAGTCAGTGTGAGGGGGGTGTGGAGTTGTGGAGGGAACAGGATATCGGCCCTGGTCGGTGAGGCCCTGCTATCCTGGAGCTGTTCCGCCTGTCCTCCCCACTCAGCTTCCTGTGGCAGAAAGTCCCTTCTGCAGTCTGACCTTGTGCTGGGCAGCTGCTTTGCGCCTCACCAGCTCCCTTCCTGGCTTAGGACTTGAGGAGCTTCACACTCCTCCCATGCTGGCTGCCCTGCCTGGACCCTGCACCACGGACACTACCCCAAGGGACCCTGGGCGTCCCCAGGGTGGTAGCAGTGGGTCCAGCACATCTTCTGGCGAGGACTACTGCAACAGCCCCAAAAGCAGGCCACCACCGTGGAGCCCCCAGGCATTTTCCCTGGAACTGGCTGGGCCCCCCATGCCTTTACCAGGTGGCGGTGAGTCCGGTGTCCCCTTGCCCTGGTGACCATGTCCCAGAAAGAAATCCCAAGCCCAAGCCCCCTGCTGGGAACAGTCCCAGCCTCGCTGTGTGGCCTGGACCAAGTCACCCCTGATCCACTCTGGGCCTCACGTCCTTGATGTTTAGGCTGAAGCTGGGGCTATCCTGTGACCCGGGGCTCTGATGCTGGCAGTTGTGCCCTGGCTGAGCTGACTGGCTGGTCTGGGGTTTCCGCAGGGGTCCCTGCAGGCGACAGCTCCAGCACCTCGTCTGGGGAGTGGTACCAGAATTTCCAGTCACCGCCCAAGCACCAGCCCACAGAGCAGTTTGAGTGTCCAGGTGCAGGCAGCGGAGGGGTTGGCAGGGGTACAGATGGGCAGTGGGGAGTGACCCTGGAGGTGTCCTCAGCCCTGGGCGGGCAGTGGAGAGCCGGGGGAGGCTGGGGCGGATTCCCTGTGGCAGGCAGGGGTATCTGAATGGGCGCAGCCACAAGGCACAGCTTGGGCTAGACAGCGAGCTCTGCCTGTGTTGTTCACAGGGAGGGATCCCATGATGTCTGGAGAAGCAGGGATGGGGCCCCCTGACCTGAGACTCACCTCAGGTCCTGCTGGCCACCTGTCTGACTCCTCCTACTCCGACTACGATGACATTGGAGCAGCCTAGTGGGGTCCCTGCCGTGTTCCCAGGAGGCCCCCCTACTCCCTCCTCCTCCAGTCCCCTAGATCACCTGAATGGGCTGAGACCTCCCCACGGACAGAAGGATACATGTTGTCCACCAAGACCCAGGCAAGTGGGCTTGGTGGCACACACCTGTGAGCCTCGCACTGGCAGGAGGATTGACCCCAGTTGGAGGCTGAACTGAACTACTCAGGGAAACCCTGTCTTAGCCACACAGGCTGGGCAGGAGTCATGATCCGCTGGGAAGTAAGGAGTTCTGGCTTTCGTGGGGCCCTGTTTGTGCTCTGGAGGTGACCCACACTAGGAAGCTTGGTGACTCCAATGCTGGCCCGCACTTTGCCCAGAAGTTACTGACAGCTGCAAAGCCAGTCAGTGTGTCCCTGGGAGCTTCTGGCACGGGAGAGGCTCATGAAGTTTCTCACTGAACCGCAGCCCAGCTGAGGCAGGAGGGTCTCTGCGGAAATCTCCCTTCCTGACCAACCTGGACTGTGGGCCACGGTGGCCTGAGTGCAGCATGGCCGGGGTCAGGAATCAAGGGGACCTCACCATGCCAGTTGGGCTGCATTGGGTCCCGGCCCTGGCTGAGGAGAGTGAGTGTGTTGTACGTAGGCATCTGGCCCAGCCAGTGGTGTGCACTGCCTCGGACGCACCCCACCCCACGTCCCCCGATGGCCTGGGCATCCACACCCAGCACCCGATTCAGAACTCACTTTGTCTGCAGATCATGAGAACTAGGCCCTGACTCCCTCCCCACTGGTGGGCAGCCCAAGTGCCATGCCACAGCTGCCCCCACCAAGGGCCAGCCTGGGCCCCTGGGTGCTCATTCTGGGGCACAGAGAGACGCGGACACTGGCCAGGGCCTTGGGACCCCCAGCATAGAGCTGTGGGGTGAGCTGCAGCACAGGCCACCCTGGGCGGTGACAGGGGGACGGTGCTGGCGGGCTTCTCCCGAGGTCCTCACAAGGCCGCCTCTGAACCCCACATGCACGCTGTCACTGGCCCAGCCTGGGCTCCAGGCATCCCCTGAACCTCGGCCAGAGCAATCAGTGCTCTGCTGGTCCATTGGAGTCTGGGGCTGAGTGCCACGCAGGCACTGACCTCTGGGGCCCTAGACTCCCCACCTGAAGCCAAGTACCTCTTCTTTCTTCCAATAAACACTCTGCTGACTCCTCTCATTTGTGGACTATCTCATTCTTCAACCTGGAGAGGGCAGGAGCTCGGTGCCCGTGGTTTGTGTGGAAGGGCTGTCTCCCGAGGGCAGAGCCAGAGAGAGAGCAGAGCTCCTGCAGGGGGTGGCAGCTATGGAAAACTCCTCTTCATATGTGCACCCCAAATGCAGCTTCCTCAGGCAACCCCTCCCCTGTCCTGGCCTCTGCAGAGTGGTGGCATCCTGGAAGGACGGGAAGAGCTCCCCACATCCACCCCCAGGCTTCCCAGTGCCAGGCCCTGGCACCCCACTTCCCCACACAGGCCTTGGAGGGCTGCTCTAGAGCACTGTAGACCATGGCAAGCTGTGGTTCACTTTGCTGCCAAGCACATAACCGCCTCACATGCGACTCTGCCATGGTGCTGCAGAGGCCACACCAACAGAGAGGGAGGAGTCACCACTGCCAGAGTATGATGAGGAGGGCGTGACCAAAGAGGGGCTGATTGAACTGGCAAATGAAGGGTGTGTAGGAGTTTGCCAAGTGAGGCAAGTGTGGTCATGTCCCTGCGATCCTGCAAGTGGAGGTGCTGGGTTGGGGAGAGCTCTGGGGGCGACTCAGGCTCAACAGATTTCCCAGGGTGTGGATATCTCTGAGGCACCGGGGTGTCAGGAGCAGCTTCCAGGGCCGAGGGGGAGTCTGGCCAGAGGACGGCCTTAGAAAGTCACCTGCCGTGAAGGGAGGTGGTCAGTGAGAGGTGGCACTGGATCCGGCCCAGGTAGGGGAAGAAATGGGGTCTGTACCTTGCAGGTGACTGTGGTGATGCCGGTGGTGGCTGCACCTGTGCCTCCAGCCATGTGCTGGGCTTTGAGTCCTGAATGGGGGCCACCAAGGCTCCGGCAGCCCCAGGACAGGGTCACCATAGGGACACTGAAGCCAGGAAGGGCCACCTGTCACCTTGGTGGACTCTGGGAGGGGTGGGTCCTCATAGGGGGCTCAGGCCCTGCTCTCTGCAGACCCAAGGGTCAGCTCTGCACAGACCAAGGCCCCAACACACTGGGGAGCAGTGGGGAGCAGCAGGGATCCCTCAGCACACCCTGAGCCCTGGTGGAAGTTTGACCCCCACCACTTCCTCAGGCTGTTTACAGCGGGGGACCCTGACATGAAATCGGTACTGTCACCCCCACAGGAGGACAACAGTACCAAGGAGATGCCCGGAGGAGGCGGGATGTGGCCCCAAACCACCTGCACCCCACATCAGCCTCCCAGCCCCACGGCTGGCTGCAAGATTCCCCATCTTCTTCCTTGTGGGAATGGTGACTCTGGGGTCACTGGTTGGGATGGCTGGGTCGACTCCTGGCCATGCTGACTCCTAGCCACAGCTATAGAGGAGAAGGTGCTGGGCACTGGGCAGGGCCAAGGCCCTGAGGGATCATGGGAAGGCACACTTTCCGGTGGCTCCTGCTGGCTCCCTGCCCAAAGCTACCACCTCCACCACCACCACACCCAGGCTGAGGAGCAGGCACTGTCCTACCCTCAGAGCACCCTGCTCTGTGCCCCATTGTCATACAGGGCCACACATGCTGTCCCCAGCAACCTGGGCCACCATGCCCTCCTGTGGCCTCTGCCGAGCCTTCTCAGGCTCTCACCCTGCACGAGGGGGTGCACACTTCTCCTGCATGGCCGGCAGGCAGTGCGGGAGGCATATTCCAGGATGCAGGGTCTGCCCCTGTGCCCATCTGGAGCATCCTCTGTTAGGACAAGCCACTCATGGGGCCTTGAATCCCCGGCACCTACCCTGAGCAACCGAGTCACTCTGTGACACCCAGCCCTGCCCACTGCGGTCGGTCGGGGGATCCTAGATTGCTGGTCTCTCTGCCACCTGCCTGGTTCCCAGTGACCATGTTTGAGACCCCGTGCACCACGCACCATCCCCTCCCATTGGTCCTGGACCCAGGCCAAGCCCAGCTCCTGACTCTGCCCATCTGGGGTGGCCTTTGGGTCACCACGGTGTCTTCTGTCCAGACCTCATGTCCCCAACCTGGCCTGCTGTCCCTGCAGAGGGGGACCTGGGTGGAAGAGAGACTGGGCAGCTCCCCCGCTAACCCTGCCTCCAGGTGCCCAGAGGATCTGCGTTACCTGTGCCTGGATCCATTCTCTCCATTGCTTCAGGGTTTGCTGGCTTTTTTTAAAATTGGACTCAACTTGTGAAATGTAAATTTATTTTCAAAGAAATTTGGACATTTTACACAAAATGTTTAGCCTGTACTTTCAACAACAGCAGTGTCACAAAGTACAGAGACTCAAGAGCTCTGTCATGCTAAAGATGCTGGGGGGACGCTGAGGGGATGCAGGGAGTGGTCCTTGTCCTCATCCTGTCCTGTCCTCCCTGCACCCCTACTCTCCTTCCTCCCTTCCCGCACCTGACAACCAGGATGCAGGGACAGCACGTGGATGACGGCATGGCGCTGGCTCCATTCCTGTGGGGCCCGTGTGGTGAGTGGATGGCAGGCACCAGCCCAGCGCCTGAGGGCCCAGCCAGGGTCTGCACCCCGCGAGCTCTGCTTCCATGCACGCTGTAGTTGGTTTCCTGCAAGCCGCTGCCCGAAGTTCACCAGTTCCCAGGGTGAAGCTGGAGCCTCCAACATGACCTCACCATCCTCAGGGGATGGGCAAGGCCAGGGCCAGGGGAAAGGGCTCGGGACTGACAGGACAGCCATGTCCAGATGGCCAGTCACTCCCCAGGAAGCTCTGATAGTGTGCCCTTTGCCAGAAGAGCCCCTGATGGCTTCTAGCCGGGTGCCAAGCACAGGTGTCCTCTGGGGACCTCACTGCACAGGAGGTGCAGGGCGTGGGGTGCTTGGGAGGTCTCGGTGGGCTCTGTGTCTCTTGTCTGTGTGCTCCTCCCCCTGTCCCTCTGTCTCCTTGTCCTCCTGCCCCCCATCCCCCTGTCCCCTTGTCCCCTCTCTCTCCATTGTGTCCTGTCTCCCTGCCACGGTCTCACAAGGAGAGGATGGGAGGGTGCGCAGGGCTCCTGGCTGCCGTCATCGGGCCGCACCCCAGCTGTGTCTCTCTGGAGCAGGTTAGTCTTCCGGCCCCTCTGCCACGTTTCCATAAATAGCTTCGCCACAACTGAACATCTGTGTCCCACAAAGGCCTTCAGAAGACGTCACTGGAGGCCACCGTCATCTCATTCCTGCCCCAGTTTTAATCAACGGAGGGCTCAGCTTGCTCCTCCCATTCCATGTCCCCATGGCTTCCCTGTCACCGCCTGGGCAGGCCCAGCACCACCCTGCTGTCCATGCTGTGGGTGCTCCGGTGCTATGGGAGACGTGAGAGCTCCCTTGGGACATACGGCCTCAGTGGCCTCAGTCTAACCCCGCAGGATACGGGCCAGGGTCCAACTCGGGCACGTAGCTCTGAGACCTGGCTGTGTCTGAGCAGAGGACTATGATTCTGGGCCCTGGGTTCTCCCCACCCGTAGGCTGTTTCCATCCTCTATGAAAACATCTTTCCTCTGTTCCTGTCCCCTCTCTGCTGGGTTGGCTGGACCCTGGGCAGCTGTGACAGTGTTCCCTGTCCTGAGTTGAGACCTGCACCTCACAGCCCAATTCTCTTCGGAATGGGTAAGGCCTATGGGCAGGCGCTCAGCATTGTGATCATCACCCATGGCTGCCGCCTCCCCAGGTCCCGACTCTTGGGTTCTGAGCACCTTGCTCCAAGGGGCCTTCTTGGGGTGGAGGCCTTAAGGGCCTCTCCCACCACCCATGGGTGAACGCAGGTGAAGTGCAGGTGACCCAGGGCCCAGCCATCCCTTCTACCCCAGCATCCCTGTCTCTAGTCAGACTCTGCTGCCGAGGTGCCTGGCCAGGCGGGGTGACAGCCTCCAGAATGGGTCTTCTGCATTGGCTGGCTCCCTGAGGGGCCTGGGAGTCTAGGCTCTGCCCATCACTGTGTCCAGCTCTGCTGTGACTTCCACAGGCCCAGCACAGCCCAGGACCACGTGGGCATCGCATCTGCACAGCTGACACACACAGATTTCAACTATGGGTGCCAGCACCTAAACTGCTATCACTTTTTCCTTTTTATGTTATTGGCACAATTAAATGTGCATGGTGATCACATTCGTCATAGGGAATCTGTCCCGCACGTGATCTTTCTGCTTCTTTTTTTCCCATTCTACTCCCCTTGCTTCAGCTCTTCTGTGAGTTTCCTGTCATCCGAGTGCGTCATGAAATACTCTCTTTATTTCCCTGTTTGCAATCATGTTTTAAAAAGCTAAAAGCTGCTCTGGGCTTGAGAGCGGTGCCAGCATCTCGCCACGGCTGGTACCATCTGGCACAAAGATTTCCAGAAAGCCGTGTTCTGCAGTTGTTTTCTCAAACGTTACATCAAAACTATGATGAAGCAGGATGTGATCCCTCTCTCACCCCCAGGGTCACGTTTTCAGTATTGAGATTTGAAAAGAAAACTGACACCACACTCCCACTGCACGGGAGGGAACCTTGCCGCCTGCCGCCGCCGTATCCTCGCCCCTCGTGCTCTCACCCCGAAGTGTTTCCCTGTTTCCATGTCCTGCACCCCTCATCCTGGGAGTCTGTGACACATACACCAGAATGTTAAAGTGCCATCGAGTCCTCTGGTAAAATCCCTCCCCGAACTATTTTGTAATTGTATCTACTAGGACCACACAGAGCCAAATAACAAGGCTACACACATATTGATCTCACTTTTTATATTATCGTAAGTCACAAGAGCCACAGAAAGCTAAACCTCCTCAGAGACCGCTGAGCGGGAACTGAGGGTTTTTCCTTTCAGGTATCCGAGGCTAGAGCAAGGCAGGGATTGGCTCCTGTCGGTCAACTTCGTCGCTGTGAGCACTAAATACCGGGAACTTGAATTCTTTAGCAATGATCCAAAATTTTCAACGCTGTCTAAGGTAAGGATTCAAAATTTACAAAGTAATCTAGATCTCAACATAATGATTAGTTATATATTTGTTTAGCAGTGCTGAGGACAGAAGCCAGGCC